GCACAACACAGAACCAGTGAGCGCCAACAAGTGTGGGTCCAAAGATCAAATCACATTCTCCTATGTTGTAGCCTACATTTTCAGGTAAAAATTGTTTCTTCCGTTTTGTAGCATCCCACAGCTTTGGGTTAGCTGCCATTATTGCCTGAAACATGAACATTTTAGTCATTTATCAATATCAATCGACAAAAAACTAACATCTCAGCAAGCTTACCATAAAATCAGCATAAAAAATGTGCCGCTTCACCTGCCCTTCCTTCTCCATATCAGCCATTAGAGTCTTGCACACAGTTGACATCAGCTGTACGCAAAGAGATTATTGTTTTGATGAACCCAAAATGCAGCATCTACTAAACAATTAAATGACCTCATCACAAATATTCTACTTACCCGGTTACCTATTTTCTCAATTCCGCCAAGTGTCCTTAGCTGATCCCGAGTGATATCTTCATCAGAGATTTTCACCAAAGGCCTAAAAATATGTTGTCAATATCATTATGCATATAGTCAATTACCACAAAATTGTAATGAATATGATTACGTGGGTAGTGGATATGTACATACATGTCACCCTCCTTGCTTGAACACATACGGGAAACTATGTCATAAAACCGGTCCTTGTCATCCATGGGCCTCTTTCGCCTCTTAGTTGGCTTTGTCAAAATCCATGGAGAATTGATAGCGGATTTCATCTCCCTTTGCGATCTCCGGAGTTGACATCCCTTGTCCATGGGGGACAAGGGCAGGGGAGACTCCATAATTTCTTTGTCTGCACCTTCTGCTGCAACACCAATGTCATCACCCCTATCTGAGCCAGTTGCATCATCGTCTCCCTGACCATCTCCCCCGTGGAACTCATCTCTATCATCACCTTCGTCATCAGACTCATGTCCATCATGATCATGGGAGTCTTCATCGCCAAATGCATCATCATCTCCCTTATCATCATCTGGGACGTCAATAGGGTCCTCATCATCTGTGGTCACATTATTTTCCTCTATCCTTATCTGCACCTTATCTAGCTCATCTTCCATTGCACTTATAAGCCTCATAGTGCTTAATTCGATCTGAGCCATCAATCGTCCGTGCAACTTCTGTAACTCCTGCAGCAAACAATTTAAAATGAGTAAACACTTTTTTCATGAGATTATTTGCTAATGAGAATGAAAATTAGTAATGAAAGCACATACCGGGTGTAAATGAGCCACACTTCTGCGTTTTCCTTCATCCTTCCCACTTCTATCCATACTTCCCTTGCCCTTATACAGTAAACCCCTCTTGCTTTCCCTCTCCTTCTTTTCCAGCTTCCTTATCCTCTCATCAGTCCAGAATTGAATGGCATTTAGGGACCCTCTCTCAACAGTTTTGGATAGTGGGAAGTGCTCAGCAAAATATAACTACAATAGTAAATCATTAACTTGCCAATTCCACAAATAAAGAAAACAATAACTTAGAAGCATAAGTCAGAAATACATACCAACAGGAGGTAGATGCATCCTCCCACATTGCAGCTTCCTTCATCTTCATCTTCGTCTTTCTTTGCTTTTGTGTACACTTTCACATAATCTCCCATCTCTTTCCACAAGTGCTTCACAATGTACGTGGCCCAATCAAATTGGTGAAATCCCTTCATGGTACAGCACATGACTCTTATTAGCTTGTCACTCACAGTTGTTTGTGAAGTAGGAGTTAAAAAACTCCCAAGTGTGTACAGCATAAACAGGAACTCAAACTCATCTTTCTTCTGCCCAGATTTAATGTCATTGAGTATCTTCGTATAAGGGACTTTACCAAATTCCTCCTTCAACCTCTGGTATGTCTCATCATCATCACATACGTCCATTTTTACCTTCTCCCCTGTGTGGGGTACACCCAACAAGTTTGCAACATCATTTGCTTCTATTTCCTTTATTATCCCTCTTATTAGAAATTGATGGGTAGGCGGATCATATGCTCGGAGAACACATACTATGAGGTCACGAGGGAGTCTCTCACATCCAATGTCAAGTAAATGGCCAAAGCCTAAATTTTGTACCCTCACTTTCAAATCTTCATCATCTTTTATGAAGTCCACTAATGACTTAAATTGCCGAACCGAGCAACGAGTGCTAAAAGCCACTTTTTTCTTCCTCTTCTTCTTCATCCCTTCCTTTCTTGATTGCTTCACCCTATCACTGTATTTCTTCTGCTCCTCTGGTGTCAACTGCTTCCATGCCTTTGATGCCTTTTTCGCTTGTTCAGACATATTCTTAAACTTCTCCCCACCCTTAAGAAATTCTCGTCTAAACAACATGTAGCCATTCTTCACTTCTTCACTTGGCCCTCCTTCTACAACAAGCATAAATAACTAAATCTGGTCAGTTGAACAGCTCAACTTTCTTTGCATTTCAAAAAAGTTGTCATTACCATTTCCAGTGTAGTCATTCACATTATAGGTGTTGTTATTTAGCCACAAAATGAACCTCGACTATTTACTACTCATATAACTAAATTTGCTGATCACGTAATGAATGTTATTGCTTCTTTCTCACTTCACAGAACAGAGCAGAAAATAGAGACTAATGACATAATACACTTTAACAACAAACTAAAAACAATCTAACTTACCAAACCTATATAACTCAACCACTTAATTCCTATTACAACTGCATATTACCGTTTGTCGCAGTCACAGTTACTTCGCCAACCTCCTCCATGACAGCAATGCGATTGATGCTTCTCAGCACTTCAGCGACCTCTACCTCTTCAATCCTCAAACCAGCAGATTAATCTCTACCTCTTCAATCCTCAGACCAACAGATTCAAAAATAAATGAATATGCATTAAAAGTGATTCTTTCTCGATGAAATGTTACAAAATTTGTATCTTCAAGTAACTTATATTATGGAAATTACTACTACACAGTGCCACAGATGACCAAGTAAATTATACCAATACATAAGAAGGCCACAAAGGTTATTCTCACTTGGTACATACTGAAATGAATATGCATGTTCATCCCCAGGTAAATTGCACCGCTAAATGACTGAGGTTATGCCCATTAGGTAGCTATATCTTCAAAACAGAGTTCTACCCACGAAAAGTCACCCTTTTCAATTTATTTTACAATGTTAAATTTGCATAACCAATATGGGGATACAGTTGAACTCATTTTAGTCCCATACACAATGCTAAAAATGTGCAATGCCCATTACACGAACAGACCAAACAAGGGGGCGGAAACAGGAAGCATCCTGGCTCATGTGCGACAGTGGTCTCAATTTATGGGCATCTAAAAAGTAGTGTAGCAATCATAAACACACACGTATATTATGCCTTCCAACATTACAGCAACACAGCAATCAGACAACAACAATCAGAGAGATATCTCGTCAAACATGGACCGAGTTATATGAATCAGAGCAAGCAAGCAACTTCTGTAATTCCGTCACACACAGAAGCACCGACTTTTAATCTAATCTACCTTTACATTCCATTTTAAGCCTTTACCATTGCTTCCCCCTTTACAACCAACATTCACCGTTTTCCCCAAATTAAAACACTCCAATCAGACAAGCACAAGACGGAGACATTTGGGTGGCTTACCGGGGTCCGAACGAATATCGACTTCTTCCTCAACCGGTGACGACCTTACAGGTGCTCTCCCTCGAAATCTCTCTCTCTAGCCACCCCCTCTCCCTTCTGAAGATTGAAGCTTCTCACTGGTTTATTGCTTCTCACTACGACCCACGGAAAAGACGAAGAAGCCGGACGCTATTCACATTCCTCGTTCACAGTTCCTCAACCATGGCAATGTGAGACTTGCGACAACCATATGCAGTTTCGCCGAGTGCAATGTGAGAGTTCGGAGAACCCTATGGTCTATGCAGTTTCGCCGAGTGGAGAACCGCCAACCAAACTCCAGTTCCGTTGCACAATATCCCGCCCTCTGATTCCCGAAAAAATTAAGGGCATTTCAGTCTTTTTGGTGAATTATTCAAATTCCAGATTGATACCCCATGCCCATTTTGTCATTTCAGTAATTTACATGCCCATTTTGTCATTTTAGAATTCAACAGTCATTTTCTTGTCATTTTCCCTAACATTTAATAGTAGGTTTTTTGAAAAAAAATTCAAAAAATGACATTTTTACAACTTTAATAACACGGTTAACAAGTCATGTAATGATATTAGTAACTCCCATGACCATAATGGCTGCCTAACAAGTGAAAAAATTTTGTTGTAGAACTTTCATAGGGACCTAATATCAAAGACATCAACTTTTATGAGAGTTGTTAATACCATTACATGACTTATTAATCATGTTATTGAAATTGTAAAAATGTTACTTTTTAAATTTTCTGAAAAAACCTGTTGTTAACTGCTATTCTGAACTTGTTAATAACGTTCCAAAACTTGTTAACTGTTGTACTGACATTGTAAAAATTTTCAAAAAAATAGTTACTAAAGTTGTAAAAATGCAATTTATTAAAATTTTTTAGAAATTTTTTTTTAAATGCTATACTGTAATTGTTAATAGAATTACAGAATTTGTGAACCGCATTACTAAAGCTATAAAAATGTTACGTTTTGAATTTTTTGGAAAACCTGTTGTTAACTGCTATATTGAATTTGTTAATAGTGCTACAAAACTTGTTAACTGTTTTATAAAAATTGTAAAAATTTTCAAAAAAATTGTTGCTAGCTATTGGACCTCTGGTGACGGCCGCCACCACCGACATCGGAGCTCTGATAGCCGGCCGGCTAGTGGGGCATTTGGTTTTTTAAAAAAAAAACAATAAATAAAATAAAGGGTGATATAGCCATTTCAGTAAATTTATAAATATTAAATTGGACATTTGTGACTAAATTAGAATTGTGCAAATTTAATTGATCATTTTGGTATTTTCAAATTCAAGTGTCATTTTGTCATTTTTCCTTATTTTTATCTATTTATAATTTTTTTTTTCTTAACTTAAAAAGTGAGAACCCTGACACTTTGCGCTCCGTTTCACTCCCTCTCTGAGCTCAGACCTCACGTCCAGTCGCCTACGGCCTCTCGATCTCGCCTTACCCTCTTGCGTTTCGCCTCTGCTTCCCCGACGCCTGCGACGGTCGACTTGAGCAGCAGCTTCACCAGCTTCCGGCAAGCCGTGCTACTCCTTCTCCATCTCGCCATCTCCTTGTCAGCGTCGACGAGCGTCCAGCGACCAGCGTCGACCAGCAAGCCGTGAGTCCGCCGTGTCCGTCGCTGTGCGTTAGTCCGTCCGGACTCCAGACGTCCAGCAGCGTCCACCTCTCCCCTTGCTGTGCCTGTGCGTTGATTGTTAGTATTTTAGACTGTGTTAGATTTATGTATATGTGTGTGTATATATTTTCTGATGTAAATGTTGGATTGACCAGTACCTTTTTGTGTTTGTTTGCTTCGCTTGCTTTAGCAATTAATTGCATGATTTTTCTGATGTAAATCGTTTCTGGTGTTTATTGCTGTTCATTCATTGTCCTTCTTGTTCATTCACTTCTCTCGTGGGCTTGTCGTGCAGTTCAAATCTGAGATGTTGAGTAAATTTGATACGCCCAATACTATGCGTGCTAGGCAATTTCATCGTGGCTTTATTTTTGGCTGATTCTATATACTGAATGTTGCTTGTCATGACAGTTCACTGTAGAAATTTGATCCTTTTGACATTTGATGATACTAGTTTGATGGAGCGAAAGAAATTTGATACCTTTTGATACGGGTTTTTTCAAAAAAAAATTAGGAGAGTGAGCTACTCCATTATAGCCATAAGTCGAGATTGACAATTGCCAAGAGAATTTAATGTTTCGTACAGTAAAATCGTAATTATATGGTGTGTATTTTTCTGTAATTTAAAGTTAGAATTTTATTTTTGAAGAGAATTGATCGTTTTATACATCAAGAGGATCCTAACTTGTAACTTTTTGTGATTGTTGGCAGCATCAAGTCTTCCAGTTAGTGTCTGTCTTTGATGGAATTTTTCGATGTTGTTGATGGATGGTTTAGATATTTTTGAATGTTTATGCATGTTTAGATGTGATGATGTTGTGTTTGTGACTTAATTTTATTCACATTTATGCCTTTTATTACTAATTTCATTGTTTTATTTTATTTGTTTTGATAAAATATGTGAGAAATATCAAAAATTGCATTAGGCACTTAAATGGGATAACTAGATATCAAATGTGTAAAACAAATCCAATACTCATCAATCACTGCTGAACTTAGAACTAATACATACAAGTGTCTCTAAACAAATCTGGAACAAATTTGCACTTTAACCCAATTTAATACAATAGCCTGACAGAGTAGTAAATTTTATGTATATGCATCTAGCGATTAAGCAAAGAAGATCGACAGAATCTCACAATAGCCCATATTCCCAATACTATTCCCTAGTCATCCTTTGTCCTCCTTGTCCGTTGCTGTTATGGGTGTATCGTTGTTAGTCATGACTTGATATTTCTCTGATTGATATTCCAAGTCTATTGGTTGACACTTGGCCTAATATTTTATTAATTTTTTTAATAAAAAATATGACTTACTGTGTTTGTTGTGGTGCTATAGAAGTTGTAAGTCGTGACTTATGGAGTTTGCACCTTTATAACAGGTGCTGTAAGTCATATCACTGCTAGTCTTCTTTCCACTATGCCTCGTATGCAGTAGCAAACCTAATTTTAACAGATGTCAAATATAGTATTTTGTACTGGTGTATGTTCCAATATAGGGTATTTTGTACTTTAATGTGGGAAGTTAATTGTTGAATGACATAGCATTATTTGTCGTCATGCTAGTATATGGTCCAATCCTCTTGTAGTGTGTCTCCCAACCCTTTTTCTAAACAAAGTTTGTGGATTTTTAGATGTAGGGGCAGTTGAACAGGAAAAAAAAATCCGTTTATGTGGAGAACTAAGAGCTTGTAGTTATAACTACACAACAGTTTGGCTAATTTGGATTGAACTAGAGATTTCAATTCATGATTTGATAACTAGAGATGTTATATGCTTGTGTATTCATCCTTTATAAAGAGCTTATACATTTGATGACAGGTAGAAAGTTGAAGCAATATCTAATGAAGAATGGGGCTAATATCGGCAAGAAGGAATTGCAGATGTTGATGTATGGAAATTCAAATCGGCTAAATGAGCCATTTGGAGATCTCATGCTAAGAAGTGACGAGGGATCTGTTTGCTAAGGGATGTGATCATCTTCATGCATGTTCTTTCTCCATTTTGTTAAGGGTTTTGAAGAGGTGCACCTTGCTTTGATCTCCACACTTACTGTTCACCTCAGCGTACATGCATAATAGGCTCAAACAAATATGATTTTTTGACCCATTTTTTTACTTAATTAGAGGCACAATTACTTATAACAATTCATGTGAAGTTTTTGTACAGTCACTCCAGAAATTGAAGATTTTGACTCTATTGTGGAACACGGGTAGTGCAGCCATTGCTTCTGAGGTTAATGGGAACTTATGTGAAGAGTTGGCATATTTTGATAGGTGCAGTTTTGCGTTGGATCTATTCTTGGTGATGTTGAATTATGGTTTCTTGGTTATCAACAAGGTTGTTGAACATATGCATAGCTTCAATGTGTAAAGCCCGGCAATTGGTTAAAGCTGAAGTTGTGTTAATTGATGGTATAAGATTAGGGGTACTTCCAGATGTGGTTACATATAATACTTTAATTGATGCATATTGTCGTTTTGTTAGTATTGATGTTGGTTATTCTATTCTTCATAGGATGAGGGAAGCTGGGATAAACCCAGATGTTATTTCATACAACTCTTTAATTGCTGGGGCTGCCAGGAAGTGCTTGTTGTCTAGGTCCTTAGATCTATTTGAAGAAATGATTCAAATGGGTATACGTCCTGATCTTTGGAGCTATAATATATTAATGGATTGCTTGTTCAAGCTTGGAAAACCAGATGAAGCAAATCGTGTTTTTCGGGATATAATACTTAGTGATCTCCATCCAAGCAAGGCTACTTTTAACATTATGATTGATGGTCTTTGTAAAAATGGGCATGCCAATAATGCTTTAATGTTATTTAGGAATTTGCAGCAGCGTGGGTTTGTTCCTGATATAGTGACATACAATGTACTCGTGAATGGGCTTTGCAAGGTTAGAAGATTAGTGGCAGCGAGCAGGATTCTTAAAGAGCTTGAAATATCTGGTCATGTTCCAAATGCTATAACGTACACTACAGTTATGAAGTGTTGCTTTAGGTGTAAGCAGTTGGAACGAGGGTTTGAGATCTTGTCAGAGATGTGGAGTAAAGGGTACACATTTGATGGCTTTGCTTACTGTACGGTGATTGCTGCATTAATTAAGACAGGAAGAATTAAGGAGGCAGATTACATCATTCATCAGATGCAAAGGAGTGGCATTATGCTTGATATGGTATCCTATAATACGCTAATAAATCGTTACTGTAAACAGGGAAGATTAGATGATGCCTTGAAGTTATTGGACGAACTAGAGAAAGTAGGCTTAGAGTGTGATCAGTACACCCATACAATTATAATTAATGGCTTGTGCATAGCTGGCAATATTGATGGCGCTCAACGACATTTGAATTATATGCATGCATTGGGATTCAACAATACAGTAGCTTTTAACTGTTTGATTCATAGCCTAGGTAAAACTGGTCAGATTGATCGTGCCATGAAACTATTTAAATCAATGGAGTTTAAAGATGCTTTTACGTATACCATCTTCGTACATAATCTTTGCCGGGCTAGAAGGTTCCTTTGTGCATCCAAGCTTTTGGCTTCTTGTTTAAAATCTGGCTTTAGGACCCTCAAGGCTACTGAGCGAGCTGTTCTCAATGGTCTTCACCGTATAGGATACACAAATGAAGCTAGGAAATTGAGATCTAAAATTCAATCAGCACGACTGCGACATTGATAACTTGGCAATTGTTTCTATATTAGAAATGTAGTCCTTGATGGCTGGGTAACATAATGCCTTTGCATGATTTAATCCCCATAACTTCATGGAAGGGGAGACTATTATCATTATGCTACAAGACTGCTGCCAAATAATATGATTAAATATGTCGGTACTGCATCTAGGTTATTGAGCTTGGCCTTTTTGATGTCAATGAATCAGTCCTTATATCATTGATGTGTATCCAAGGATCAGTTGGGAATTTCACCACGACAATCACGAGTAAGGTTCTCAAGCCTTGTTTGGTGTGTTGCAATGATTTTTTATGAAATGTGAACAAGAGAGGGAATTAGAATGAGATGGTAAGAGGAATGAAACTGGATCTTAAACATACATTTGGTACCTTAAAAAAAATTAATAGAATCATGGTGGTGTGATTTTGGTCTTCTATATATATTTGAAATTTAAATGATGGAAGGGAAGCCTACTATACTACCCCTAGGAAGATAAATAATCAAAGTTAACGAGAGTAATTTTTGGCTAGGCAAGTGTATCTCCTTATTGGAAATAATCTTATTTGAGGCACTGTCGAATACTACATCTAGGCACCTCTCCTAGTGATGATTCGAATCTTGGCTCATTATGTTGTGAGGGGCTAGTCCCTTCTACTAGATTTAACCCTTGTTGCTATTAATAACTATAATTTATAAAAGTAACAAATTTAAAAATCTACCCTATCAAATCTCTTGGCTTGCAATTCCTCTGTTGACTAATAATGAAGGAGACTTGACACTCACCCATGTTCAGCTTTGACAGAAATTGTTGTGGTGATACTCAACCTCTACCCTAGAACTCAGGCAAAGATCTCAGTGACGGCTTGTGATTTTGTTGCTGGTAGTCTTCGTTTGTAGAAATGAAGTGTCTTCTGTGGCTGGCTTCTCGCAAAATCCAGTAAGATTCTGTCTTCTTGTAAATTTGGTTGACTGGGTGAGTTGGGCTATGATTTAGAATCTCTATTCTTACCAATTTATGATGTGCGGTGCTGTCTTGTATTTTAACCTTTGCAACACTCTAGTAATGATGGACTATTTTTCGTAATCATATTTTCATTGGTTGATGATATACTTGGACTTGTGTAGAAGTTTCAAGGTTCCAGCTTCTGCAACTATTCTTATTTAAATTACCTATTGCATAATATATAACGTTTTAGAGGTGTTAATTATAATGTTCAAAACTGATAATTAAATTACTTGTAAGCTCTTACATATGTAACTTGATTGTTTGCCAAAGATGCTACTTGATTATGGGATAGGGGAGCAATTTAATCAGGACAAGGGAGGAATTCTTCTGTTCATCCAAGGTGTTTGATGAGAGTCCCGAGTGAAATATAACGAATTGGAAGTCTGCATGGAAATTGATATTGGGATAATTTTTTGTTGCTTCTGGACTAGTTTGGGTGTTTATTCTTGAGTGGTTGTTTGATATAATTTCTCTTAGCCATCGTGATTTGTCACATTTTCTTGTTCCTTGTATGAAATTATGAATAGATGTGTTACCTTTGATACATTATAGCTTGTTTGCTTATTCTATTGTGATTACAGAAGGGAAATTAACTTCAGGCAAAGCCAAGGAATAATCCAGTGGTGGTACATTGTAGGTCATTTGGATATTCATGTTTTTGGTTGGTGCATAAATCAGCTTGAAAGACAAATGTTGATATATAGAAGTTCAAGTCAGCAACGGCATACGTTAGGAAATAATGAAGATTTAGTACAGTACTTGTGCTGCTGATGTGGTGATTTGCATCTGGACAACACCTTATGGGAGTGTCATTGTTCATTCTGTTTCTCATTTTATCTGATTGTATCCGTTGGGAGAGCGGTGGATGCATCAAGTCATGGACGTTATTGTAATGGTAAACTTGTAAATGGTCACTTCTTCTTCTTGTTTTTTCTTTTTTCTTTTTTTTTTATTGTTATTTTCTTTTTTGACCTTAATCTAGCCCTCCCTTATGGGCCAGGATTGGGGGACCCAGACCCACTCCCATCACACACGCCCTCACCCATCTTCGTTATACCACATGGGGTATTTGATCCCACAACCTCCTTTAGCCACAAGGCTCTAGCAAAATGGTCACTTCAATTAATCTAAATCCTAAAATGCATTCGTTTCAAATTTGATGTTAATATAAGGTTCCCTATGTAATGAGAATGTTGTTTGTGTTCTGATTAATGTTGCACGAGTCGGCAAGCCTTGTGAAGGCTTTATATTTGAGAATGAAAGTTTAATGTGGTTAACATACAAATAAGCTTGATGAATTGTAGATATATTCCAAATCACATATTATTTATGTTCCAAAAAGTGTTATTACCCATGAGATGTAATCAAAAGCCTTGTTATTGTATCTAGCGAAATTCATGAGACTGAATATATATTTCATGTTACTTATTCTTTTTCATGTTGATTGCTTCCATGGCATCCCCACCTTCCCCTTGGTTCTTGGTTTCTTTTCACGTTGAATGTACATGATAAGTACTTGTTAAGTAACTCATTTTCTTTTCTATTATGGATAAGTATGGACTTGGATAAATTCTTCTCTAGCCTTGATAGTGTCATTTGATTCTTTTCTATCAAGGTTAGTTGTTTTAGTGCTTCTTGTATATGCAATATGACTATGTATAGGCTAGTCTTTAGGAAGGACACTATAGAAATCAATACTTTGAACCCAAAGAATCTTTTCACTAAGGTTAACATTTTCCCATTGTAGTTTTGTTAATAAGAAAAGACAAGATAATTGTAGACGTATAGTTTTGTTAAGTCAAGATCCATGATTATATAGTTAATATTTTGATCTCATGTTATAGGCTTCTAGCTTATCATGATGTATATTTTTTCTAAGTCTATATTCATAGATTTTCATAAGTTTAGTTAAATTTACACAAGTCAATCTAGAAAATTGTTGAATGCAATGCAAGTCTAAGTGGTGGTCTACCTCGATTCGTGTTGTTCTCACAAAAAATATTCTCTTCATCTGACCTCTGGCAAATCGTGTGTCAACTCAAGTTTAGTGTATGTACTGAAATATATCCTGAAGTAATCTTGATTTATTTGATTCAAATGATAGTAAAAATTTGTTACCATCGTCACATCTTTAGAATGTCTTAGTTAGTGTTAGTATTCTCAAATACTTCATTTTATCACTGGGAGAAATCAAGTTTCTGTGCTTGAATCTTAGGCAGCTTGGGTTAGCAAGCATTAAGGCTGGGTCGAGTAGTCCTTCATTTAAAATTCTTTCTACCCTAACTTGGTGTTTTTCAAATGGAGATTGGTCATGAGCTTGAACTAGTTATCCCATGCTCCACATGGTAGATCACCTTCCTAACATGAGATATATATTTTAGAATTTTTAGTTTTCTTCTATTTTAAGTATTGTTGCTCTGACTCACCCATCTTAGATGAACTTCTATATTCATCTCAATCAAAGACGTTTAGAGTTAGGAGTGTTTTAGTCATGTTAGTCTTAGTTTGGATAAGTTTTCTTGATCCATTGTTTTGTGCTTTTACTGCCATATCATTGTAAATGTTATACTTAAGTATCCTAACCATATTTATGTCATTCAAATACATCAAGTCTTAGTGTCTTAACATCCAGATCCTATTTGTTCTATTTCTCCTATTTAAATCTTTTCTTATTTATCCTATTTATGGTTATGTAACAGGCTATAGATTGGAGGAAACAATATGCGTAACCTTTGGATCACAACATTAGAAGAAAACATGTATTAGGGCTAAATCTAGCTTTAAACCCGAACTCTTGTTTGGCTTCTTTTTAATTCTTTTTTATGAAGGGGATGAAACACCCGATCCACGTTTTAAGAAGACTAAAGAAAAATAATGGCTTTGTCACTAAGTTACTAAAATTCATCTATCAAAATATGAGGAACTTAGGATACAAGGCCCTCAGAAAAAAAAATTGCATCACCAACGATGAAGTAGAGGGGGTTTTGTTTTTCTTTCGAAGATAGGGCGGATGGGGGTGGCTGGAAAGTTAATGACAGAGAATGAAGAATGATAAGGAGATAATGATGAGAGTGTGTGTATCATGTTGAGAGGGAAAAAAATTCAGGAAGAGCAAGGATTCAAAGGAAATGAATTGAATGGGGTTCACATTAAATTATGTGTGAATGTAAGTCATTTGAAGATTTGAAATTTTGAATATCAGAAGAAAAGAATTGACTATGGCTCACTTTGCAAATTAAATGCAAGGTAAAAATTCATCGTTTGCATTAGAAAAAGTAATTCAAACAAAGACATCATAAATAATATTTCACATTAAGAAGATGATGGATGATAATAAATGTCACACTTGAGTACATCAACCTAAGAACCTTGAGATTCATAAAGATCCCAATCAAGCCAAGAGGAACGTTAAAAAATAAGCAGGATGCAGAGTCCCATGCTAAAAATTCTTAGCATGTTTACAATCCCTTAGGATATTAAGAATGTTTTCATCATGTCATATAGTAAAAGCCTAGAGGAGAGCCACAGGACCACCCACTTCTACACACATTAGTAGGCAATTTATTTAGAAAAAATCTCTAAAGAAAAACTCGGAACTCTTTCAATCTCTTGCCACCTCCATATCAAATTGAAATCCTAGTTGTAAAGAGAGCAATGGTTTTCTTCAATGAGATAATAAGCGCTTTTAAGCCTAAAAACTCAATTGCTAGAAGCTTTCCAAGCCATTAAATCATGTCCAGCTGCATCCATGGGGCAACATACTCATTAATCTTTGGAGGATCTCATTATTCACTACAGTAGTGAGTTTTGGAAAGTCCCAAGTACCAGACCTGATCAGCAACCACACTGTTATTTTCCTCTACTAATAATTCTCGCAAGCACCAGTCTATAATTTTCTTATTTGGGAAAAAGCTAGGAATTATTGAAGAAATTTATGGATTGCCCATTTCTTAAGTGCCATCGTGTGTCTTTATCCATTAGCTCATTTTGCTGACAAATAAATTTCCCTAGCTTTGAATCTCCAGTAACTGCAGTGAGTAAGCTCCCCCCTCATTTCTCATATAAACGCACAAAACTTGAACCTCCAATTCTTGCTAGAGACCTTCTCTCAAATTAGAGTGAGTAATTGCATGCACCGTTGTAGGATAAAAAGACGGACAACCTATGGGAAAACATCTCAAGTGCATGAATTGGCGGTTTTGTCGCCAAATCAAAATTGCAATTACTTTTCCATGCGACGACGATACCTTCAGATCGGCCAGTGCTTCGAATTATTAAGAAGCTATCGACACCCAAAGAACGGATGCATCAAAAATTGGCTTCTTTTTCACTCTTTGTTTCGGCAAGAATTAGAACCATAGGTACAGTCCAGATCCTTTGAACACTGTTTTGAGATTTCTAGAAAGGCCTTTTGCAGTAGGCCCTCTAGTATTCCAGTACATGATGTAATCCATAAAAAGATTGGGCTAAAAAGAAGGTCGAGGCCTAATTAACAGAGTTTGGAGCTGGTTTTTGGGACCACAGATCCATCACTTGTGATACTCTCATCAATATCCCCTATTGTTGGGGTTGTTAAAGTCGGCCCATGAGAACAAGCCTTAGGTCCTGTATCCATGTCCACATCTTCTCCAGGATTGTGAAGGATATTTGACGGCTCCGCAATGTGAACTATTGGTTGGTCTGCACATGTATTGCAAGGAACATTACAGTTTTTTTTTGCCACTGTTAATCTTATTTTGGTTGTTCTCTTCTCTCGTCTCTTCTAATGTCAGCATTAAGATCTTGTTGTTTCTCGTGTGGTTATGGAACATCTCACGAGATCTCTTCTCTCTTTTCTCCGGTGATTCTTTTGTAATTGTGGACCGTGTAAATGGTTCCAGGACCACCTCAATAGGGATACCACTGTCACTGTTTTGTTTTTTGCTCTCCTTTTCTTCTAAAATCATACAAGAGTGGTGGTCGCACCATCACGTATAAATGGTACGTTCTCCTGCGCCGTCTCTGTAGGTACCATGTTATCCTCTATCATTTTTGTTAAAATTAAATGATTTTCCGCGTTAGCCAACACGTCAAACCGTGTTCCTGAATTTTGTTGCCGGAAAATTTTTCCTACTTCTGCCGGTGAGGCTTTTGGACTACATGGCAAGTTTCTTGCTGCATTCTCACATTATTATCCACCTTCATTCCAGATTTTTGCATCTCGTTGACATGATTCGTCATGGCTATCCCATTAGGCTCTGTATTTGGTTTTCGAGCAAGACATTCTTCTTTCTAATGATCATACACGTCACAGTCGGTACATAGCAAATGGAGACCTTCATATTCCAGATAATAGTCTTTCCCTTCTAATGAAATGCCAGGCACAAGTTGTTTACTCAAATCAACAAGAACACAGATTCTCGCATAATGATCTTTGAGCTGGCGTGATGCATCATATCCACTCTAATAGTTTTCCCAGTTTTGTTCCCAATAGTAGTTAAAGCTTCCTTATCATAATACCCCACAAAAACTTTAAGCAAGCGAACCCAAATAGCCACTCTATCAATTGTAGATTGTGTTAGATTAAACCATGGCTTCCAAGGTCTTACTGTCAGATAATGATCATAAGCCGTCTAGGGTCCTCCAGTCACAGCATTAAAATAGTCTTCTCTATTTGAAAGTTTAACAACAAAGAAACCATGGCCAATATTGATTAAGTTGATCATGCCTCTTTTAGCCCAATGATTTTGGAGTCTGGTTTCCAAAGCTTTATGACCAATACTCCTGCCCAGATGCTTTAGTATTACTGCCTTTTTCCAAGCCCTGTATAACTGTTTCTTCACTTGCCCAGAAAAAATGGAACGTTGCAAAGTTCCTATTAAAATCCTCCATTATACAAGTATCACATCCTGTAAAAATTAACCCTGACAATATTCATGAAAAATTAAGTCAAGAGCCAATACAGAAAGTAGACTATCTGACAACGCCAGCATGACATAAAATCCGGAGAGGGTCCAAACTGATATTTTTGGAATTATCAGTCCAGGAAGGACAAAATGGAAAAAATAGAGAAAAATTTTAGAAGATTTTCAAAAAAGGGTAAAAAGGTAAATTAGAGGTTTTGGAACCTCGATGGAGGCCTTAAAGGTGAAAAAGGTGTGAAAATAGTTATTTAT